TGGCCTGCTGCTAAGGGGCGGGACCAGCCCTTGAGGCCGTTGCTAGGGGGCGTGGCCTGTTGCTAGGGAGGCCGGGGCCGTTGCTAAGGGGCGAGGCCTGTTGTTGGACTGGGAGAGTTGTGAGGGGGATTGGGGGGGGGCACTGGGATGGGACCGATTTATACTGGTATAAACTGGTCCGAACTGGTCCGTACTGGTGCGCACACTCACCCTGTGTGGCGGGGCGTGTATGAGGGCCCTGTAGAAGCAGGTGGTCTGTGGGTACAGCGCCAGCACCAGCTGGTCCTTCCCAAACAGCGCCTCAGGGTCGGTCTCGGGGTTGGTTTTCCATTGGGGGAGGGGGATGATGCGGCGCCGGCTCAGGGTGTGCCGTCTGCAGGGGGGAAACACACCAAATCGGGCCTTTTCACCCCAAAATACACCGACCCCCCCACACACACCCAAACACCCCACTTCCACCCCAAACCCCCCAATTCCACCCCAAAACCCCCTCGGTTGGCATCAAAACCCCTGTTTTTTCACTAAAATCGACATTTTTTCACCAAAATAACCATTTTTTTCACCAAAATCACCCTGTTTTTCACTAAAATTGACATTTTTTTCACCAAAATCACCCTTTTTTCACCAAAATAACCATTTTTTACCAAAATCGCCCTTTTTTTCACCCAAATCGCCCTTTTGTTACCAAAATCGCCCCTTTTTCACCAAAATAGCACCTTTTTTAACCAAAATTCCCATTTTTATCACCCCTCCCCCACACTCCAATTTCCCCAGTTTCCCCCAAATTGCATCTCCCCCCCATTTTTCAACCAAAACACCATTTTTTCACCCAAAACCCCATATTTTACCGCAAAATCCCCATTTTTTCATCAGCCCCCCATTTTTTCACCAAAATTCCAACTTTTTACCTCAAAACCCCAATTTTATCACAAAAATTGCCATTTTTTCACCAAAACCCCCATTTTTTACCTCACCCTCCCATTTTTTCACCAAAACCTTGATTTTTTACCTTGAAACCTCAATTTTTTCACCAAAATCGCCCTTTTTTCACCAAAATCCCCATTTTTCTCCCCCCT